TCGGTACCTCTGTTGGCGCGTACCGAACCAAGAGCGGACCAGCTTAGTCCGCAAGCGTTTACACCGTTCGAACTAAATATTTGGTTCTGATATAGTACGAATTTGGTGCTTGGTCCGCGTACCAAGTTGTCGGTGTAAACTAGGCTAATATGATCTATAGACAAGCCATGAAATTGGAAATGACGGCAACGTCGCGTATGGTGCTATTTTGTTATTGGGTTATGTGTTTCTGTGTATTGCTTTCATTGTGTATTGTTGCAATTTAGTATTTTTATGGGCATTATTGACGAAAAAGTGGATAGAAACACACCAATATATTGCCCATATTTAGTTGATACCTGTTCCTTTGTGCTTTGATTGCAAATTTTTTAGCAAATGGGTACAGGAGCAAAAATGAAGGTAAGGTAAGGTAAAACAATAAAAACAATATTAATATTTGTCTGCAAGAGCATATAGGTCTCGATATATTACCTAAGATATTTAAACTTGTTCCAGATGCCATGAAACTACTGTGTTCCTGGGTGCAAATCGAGAACTATTAGGAGTTCCTTAAAAACTGAAGAAATGCAAACATTTTTATTTCCAAAAAAATTCTGAAGTGCAAAAAATGTGAATGAAAGCAATACACCAAGATAATTATACCCGAGATTATACAATAACGAAAAATTCTGTGGTGTGTTGTAAACATTTTGAAGAAACCGAAATAATTAGATTTGAAACAAACAAGGATAAAGGCGTAGTTCGAGAGTTCAAACTAAAACGTCCAACTCTTAAAAGTAGGTACCTCTTATTTTCGAAAATCAGCTCAAGTATTTGAATGGACTTGCCTTCCGAAAAAATCCCGAAGAAAGAAAAAGTTAGATTTTCAAAAGACATACTGAAACATAGGCCTATAACACTTTAGACTCTAGAAATATATTCATTTAAATCAATTATTTACTGTTCTTATTTACACAAATAGTTAAATTATTCATTGAATTACTGTTTTTGGCCCTTTAGTACAATAAATTATGTATTTTTTGTGATTCATATTAATAAAATAAAAAATATATATTTATACAAACAAACACCACCAGCACCACTTGGCGGTAAGATTGCGGTGTTGCCTTTTTAACTTCATGGCTTGTTAAATGTAGGGGGCTGTGTCTATAGGCTTTGTTTCCCCCTGAGCTAATATGGCGGACCTGTCAAAAGTCACGTGACCTGGAATGCCTAATTGTATTGTAGGGCGTGTTTGGGTTGACGCTCGGCGGAGCGAGCAGAGCGATTACGGAGTAACGTGACGTCATAGGGGGGTACACCGTGTCAAGCCAAATAAACTCGTGCAAAAGTGGTGAGTTGAGCGATCAGCTGATTATTGTTTATTTTTTTAGGATATATTTTTTGGAGTCAGAGCCCGCACTCCGCATTCGCACCAGAGTTTTCTCGTTTATTTTTTATTTTAGTCGATAATTTTCAAACAGCCCCATTTTCTTTTGTGTTCTGCTAAAAATATCGTGCTACATAAACAATAAAATGGACCTAAACACTCTGAGGCTGCCAAGTTCCCTTGGAAAAATATGTTCAATAATGCCAGTAATGATGACTTCCGAGAAAATTCAATTAAAAGTAAACACATTTGATCTGCGCATGCACGCTCCAGCTGCCCACTCCACAAACTCGGAGTTTATCGAGCTCGCTCGGAGCGCTCAAAATATGTCAAACCAAACACAATCAAGCGTTGTCGGAGCTTCAAAAATAACGGAAGAGAGACAAAAGTGCACGCTCTGAGTGCACCGATCGTCAACCCAAACGCGCCCGTATTGTGTAAATCGACCTTTTTTTATCACCTCAACATTGACAAAAAAGTCAAGTCAGTGTCATATTTAAACCAATCATAACATAAAAACATGTTGCATTTACTTTTGTTCAGCTTTAACATTGACAAAAACTGTCTAGCCTATGTTTTTCAGAAGAGACTTTCTGTTGTTAAGCCTGATTTACACTAGGCAAATTTAAAGTATTATTTTGCCTGTACCAGTTTTATGTTTGGCCATGTGTACAAGCACCCTAAGTCAAGGCGAGAAACGACACGCTGTTTACGTCATCACTGGTACTTTGGCCTGGTGGGGGGCTTGAGATTTTCATTTATTTTGATAATAATAATAATATGTTTAGTTAAGTTAGGAAATACAAACTGTAATTAGCTCATCGAGAACACAAACATTTATTATTATTCATAATAATTTATAATTGAAGCTATTGCAAATAGGCAGAGAAATCCAATAAAACATAAACTATAAATTACAGAAACATAAATTTTTCTGTTAGGTATTTGTGAGAAATGAGAAACTGAAACTATACCGGTATGAACCATTGGAACCGAAATTATCGTTCAGAACCAAATCGAAATATTTCTCTTAAAACCTGAACCGTAACGGAACCGATATTTGTCATGACGCTGTGGACCGGAACGCAACCGATATTTCATCTCGGTCCGGGTCCCTGCCACCGATCTCCCTTGCTGACCCTGCTCTAATGGCGGCATAGTGCTGGTGGGTATCACTCGTATTACTCTATTCACTCCAGTAGCACCAAGCATTAAATGGAACTCGACCTCGAGTCTATTCCGACATCGAGTTTAATCTTACCCGATCAAGTTGAGTACTTATAATTGCGAATTGTGGAATTCGATTTTTTTTAATGGAAAAATCCGGCAATTGTCCCAAATTATCTACAAAGCGAATAGTTATTTGCCAATCGGCAAAGCATAATCGTCGGCTCGGAAATCATATTCATTCAACCACCATGTTTTCGAACGTGTCTCAGTATAAATGAAATTGCTGTTCTGTCACTGGCTGTGCACAGCTGCTCAGCTGACTAGTGATTGTTTATTGAAGAAAGAAGAAAAAGGCTGGATGGCACGTTTCAAATTTATTTGCTCTCGTTTTTCATTCGAATTATATGAAAAATGTCTTTCTTATTATTAACTTCGTTTTATGTGTTGGTTTCATTAATCATTACCGGCACAGTTTAGTGGAAAGGTGAGGTAAGTACTTACATAGTTTTTTGATTTGGTAATCATTCTATTCACCTACCTATACTATTTCTATAAATGTATTTCTTTCTAAGATAGTCACGATAGATACGACATTGGAAATATTGAAAACATAAGCTATGCAAAAATATTGAAAACCCAAGTAATGTATATCTTGGTTTATATAATTATTTCTGAGTGTATATTGGTCCCCCAGTTCAGACGCATTATTAAGCTGGATTTATACAGCAAATAAAATAGAATAAGATAAAATACTTATGCCCGTTTCCACCAACATATTTAGGGCCTACCTAACGCTAGGTAGAGAATAACTTTAGGTTAGGGGTCGATTCCGTTTCCACCACGTTTATTCTTTCCCTAAAATGGCTTAGGTACGACTTTATTCTAGGGGTCCGAATTTCCCCACCTAAAGAGTCACCTAGCAAAGGAATGGTGCATTCTAACCTCACTTTCTCAGATGTTTTTTGAGGAAATTCATTTTTCATTTTTTCTGTGTTGTGTTTTCAATTGATTCACCTCGATTTTGTGAAAATTTAACTCGATTTTGTGGAAAGTAGTGGAAAGTTCCCTCTTGTCATTAATATGGAAATATACGACGATGATTATGAAATATTAGATTTGGTACAAAATGGTTTTCCTAGGCGTATATATGACAGGAAAAATCATTTTGATAGTATGGACAATTTAACGTTTTTCCGACGCTTCAGACTAACAAAACCAACAGTTTTGAATGTTCTGGAGCAGATAGAAGAGCAACTGGAATATCCAGATGACAGGTTAGTCGTGTAGTAGATTTGCGATTTGCTGTTCAGACTAGTATCATAATACTTTTAGAAACAATGCTATATCACCTATGGATCAACTGTTAACATGTTTACGGTGCTTTGCCACGGGTGGGCATTTAAGTTCCTGTGCGGATTTCATGGGTATTTCTGTGAGTAGTACCTCACGCACTGTGAAAAAAGTGTCCGAAGCAATAGCTAGCTTGAGGCCTCAATACATAGAAATGCCTATAGAGGATTCAATTGCCACCAGCAATAAATTTTTTCAAATATCTTCTTTCCCGAGGGTGCTTGGATGTGTAGATGGGACACATATCCGAATTCAGTCACCAGGTAATGGATTGATTCCAAGTTTATCGTTCAATAATATATTGAAATCGTTCTTTTTTAGGGGGAGATGATGCGGAACTTTTCAGAAATAGAAAAGGTTACTTCTCTATTAATACACAGGTTGTTGGCGATGCAGACCTTAAAATTAAGGATGTGGTGGCAGATTGGCCAGGCTCTACACATGACCAAACTATTTTTGCGAACAGTAGAATACGAGCTAGATTGGAGGAGAATGAATTCCCAAATTTTACTTTGCTAGGTTGGTGTCAAAAGTATTCTTAACAGGAGAGTTCAGGTAATTCCTTGCGAGTCGGAAGAGGACAAGCTTAGGTACATATTTCATTTTAAAATTTAAAATAAAGGATCATATTGTGTACTCACAGAGGATTAACCGGGCTCTCCTAACATTAGCAATGAGTCCTGATTATTGATTATTCAACATTTTTAGGAGACAGTGGATATGCACTGAAAAACTATCTGCTCACACCAATAGGTGATCCACAAACTAGGCCACAGCAACTCTACAACGAGGCACATATTAGAACGAGAAATTCAATCGAGAGATTGATAGGTGTTTGGAAAAGGAGATTTCCAATCCTGGCCTATGGTTGTCGGCTTCAACTGAACACCACATTAGCTCTAATTCCTGCTACAGCAATTCTTCATAATATTGCTGTGCAGATGAATGAAGGTGTACCCCCTGCCGAAGATGATGTGGGCAATTTGGACTATTTGATAGAAATGGGTAATATTCCCGATATCCAAAATGATGGGGTACAAGTACTACAGGGTCAAATGTTTAGAAATGACATAATCGATTATTTTGCAAATTTGTAAATAAAAGATACAATAATTATTATTGGAATATTTTAATAATGTATTTATAATATAATTATATCCAAAACAAAAACACATTTTCCTAAAATTAATTAACACAGACAGACACAAGCAAGTAAATAACTCTAGATTTTTTAGATCTAATATAGCATTTGTGATTCCAGCAAACACTCATTAGAATCCTTAGAGTAAGCTATAGAAGAGAGATGTTTTTTTTTTCAATTGAATGTCCAATTGCAACGCTTCCATTCTCAATTGATGTTCCTTTTTCAAACATTCCACTAATTCAAGCTTTTTATCCACAAGCAATTCATACTTTTCTCCCAATCTAGATGAAGTTAGTGGAACCACTGTATTTGGTCTTCTTCGAGATGAATTTTCAAATTTTTTTTTACCTTGTGTGGTCTAAAAATTATCATCATCATTATAGAAACTTTACTGAAATGTGAGAAGCTATACCTTATCGATATTTCCTTTTAAAACACTGCTAATGGGCCTTTTCAGGTTTTCGCTTTTTTTCCACACATGCGATGGTTGACTTTCAGGTTGCTCATAAATAATTTCTATGTCGTTGCTGATATTTCTACTGCATGAAGGCACCTCTGAATGACTCTGAGTTGATGCTTCCTAAAAAAGAGGATTTGCAATAATTTGCATGCTTTTTTATTTTAAGTCAATAATGATAGCTTTGTTCGCAGAGACGATCCCAAGCTGATCCTGAATGCGAAGGTAAGAATCTCACTATAAAAAGCCGTTGATTGATACTGTTTCATTCGCTTGTGTTTGAGTTGATTTTGTGGTTCTATTCAGGAACGGTTTGGGGTCATCTGCACGAATTAAGCTACATTTTATTAAAATCACCTCCTCATTATTGTTTTCAACGTCTGACAGCTCTGTATCATATAATAATGTTCCTGTGGCAGCAGAACTTTTCAAATTATTCTAAAAATACATTATATTTTTGAAATTTAATGAAAAAAAATAAGAAATAGTGATAAATTACCTGCATATCATGCCCGGCATCATGTAAATTCACCCCCATATTGGAATCAAACTGACTTCCTAATCCAAAAACTGATTTCTTGCTCATAATCGACATCAACAATTCATCATGTCGGCTATTCTTGTTTGGCTCAGGACAAGGTCCAGGCCCGTCTCCTGTTTTGTACAATTCTTTTTTCAATTCAGCCGTTTTCTTTCTTATCTCTTCTTTCATTTTTTCATATGTTTTTTTTAAGTGATTGCATTGGCCTGTAGTGCAAGCTTGGCGAAGCACTATTAAACTCTTGGCAAATTTTTTCCCATGTCTCTTTTTTTTCTTTTACTGAGACACCATCGGTTTTTTTATTTTCGATTATGTTTTTATACTTTTCAATTAAATTAAGCAAATACTCCTTTTCGTTGTTTGCATAATTCGGTGCTCTTTTTTTTGAAGAACTTGTATCTTGGCAAGGATTTTGCTCTTGCTCCATTATAAGCTAAATTATTTTTGTTCCTGCCTGCCGTGCAACAAACCACAATAAACACTATTATAGGCACAATTCACGTTAGAATACAAATATTAAAATTCACGTTAAGTTTATGTTTAGGAATTTACCAACCATAGACTATTTAGGAACCTTCACAACAATTTTGCAGGTTAGACTTCACCGCGAACCCTTCAAAACAAAAAGTCACTAGAATTCTGCGATGTTGCCTATTCTTTTCACCACCTAACTAGGAATTCCATAAGTTTGACTGGTGGAACCCAACACACAACTTTAGGGGATTCCTAGATTAGGGAAACCCTACCTATTCTCTCCCTATATAAAAGTTGGTGGAAATGGGCATTAACAAATAAGAAATAAGAGTTAACCTAATGAGATACCCTTGAAGTGTTTATACCAGGGTTGGAAAAAACCTACAATTTAGGAAAAATAATTTTAGGTTTTTAGGTTTTTTAGGTTTTTTGAGGTTTTTTTTAGGTTTTTTAAGGTTTTTTAGGTTTTTTTAGGTTGTAACAGTAGTAACACATATTGGTGATGTAGGGATGTACCATACCTATGTAATATTATGTAAATACTTAAATTAGGTATTCACATAATGATAGCTAGAGTCTAGACCGATAAATAAAAAACATAGGTATAGAATTCTGGAAAGAAAAAGGTAACAACATTAGGTAGGTATGTAAGTAATGTGGTGGTGGTGGTGGTATTGGTGGTAAGTCTTTTAATTAAAAAAAAAATAAATAACTGGAATTCCAAAATAAATTGAAAAATAAAAAATAAACTCTAATCTCAAATGATAAAAAATAATATAGATCAGTGGTTCCCAACCTTTTTTTAATCACGACCCTTTTACTGATTTGCTCATAAGGTCGCGACCCCCCTAATCCTTAATAAATAAAAAACAAAAAATCTTTATTAAAATATTGATATTACGTAACTAAATACAAAATAGTTATTTATGCAACAAGTGTGTAAAGTGAACCTTTTTTCACGAATGTGGATTTTGACGCACGAGCCGAAGGCGAGTGCGACAATCACATGAGTGAAAAAAGGTGCTTTACGCACGTATTGCATACAAATTTTTTTCTACTACCGATCAAATATGTGTAAAAAAATTAATTTGGACAAATACTTTACACACTAGTGCGTGAAGAATTTTCACTTTACGCACTAGTGCGTGAAGTGAATTACTTTACGCATGGTAGTAGAAAAAGTCAATTTTTCTACTACCGTGCGTGACGTACTCACTTTACGCACTATTCAGATGACGTAAAATTTCACTTCACGCACTAGTGCGTAAAGTAATTCACTTCACACACTAGTGCGTAAAGTAATGTCAATGACAGTTGTCGATACTGTCAATTTGGCATTTTTCTGGTAAATTACTTCACGCACTAGTGCGTAAAGTGAAAATTCTTCACGCACTAGTGTGTAAAGTATTTGTCCAAATTTATTTTTTTACACATATTTGATCGGTAGTAGAAAAAAATTTGTATGCAATACGTCCGTAAAAACCTTTTTTCACTCATGTGAAAAAAGGTTCACTTTACACACTTGTTGCATAAATAACTATTTTATTTTGTTAATGTGATGACTGAGCTTGCATCTCCGTTTTGAAATTCTTGGTTGAGCTAATCTTATGTCGTCTTGAACGCCCAGTCTACCTATTTCTGGCGTTAATTTCAATTTGCAAAAAAGTTGAAAACCCACTTTCACGAAAGTAGGTAAAGGCAAATGATATTAGTATCCGAAAAGAAAGCATAAGCAGGGCGACATAAGGGTATGAACTGGGATATGAACTATGCATGGCACATCAAAATTCAGTCAAGATTTGTCCTGAAATAGGGCAGGTGCTGTGGAATCAGTCCTCAGTTCTAAAAATGCATCCTTTACTTCATCCAGGAACGTCGGCAACATCTAACGAGGCTTGGAATGGGTTCCTTACTACTGCAGCTTTCTGTTCAGATAACTCAGGAATGACGCCCATTTCATTTTCAAGGGATTGAAACCATTGAAGGTGATAATCAATTTTCTCTTTTAGATTCACCACAATTTCTGCTTCTGATGCTTCAGCCATTATGCATAGTTACCTATGTTCAAAAACATGCGACTCACAACACAACACTCACAATCTGTGCTATGCCCTTCGTCCGTAAGACCAATGCAATTACTGTATTCCTTTTATACATCGAGTTACACCGAACGAACTCCTCGGAGTCACTCCAAAACACACAATTCAGATTTTATCATTATTTTTTTATATTAACATTACTGTCATTACCTAAAAGGGCTTCTTGCACCCCCCGCAAATTTGGTGCATCAGGGGAAAGGGGGATGCACTATGAGTGCTTAACGCACTTTTAAAAGGAACGCTCAAGCTTTTGACATTGAGCAGCTCCGGGTAACTCAACGGGTAAAAGGAATACAGTAAATACTGCGCGGCTTTTGAGGCGGAGGCTTAAGCTCAATTCTCACTTGCACGAAATTCACTCTTTTTTGACATTGCTTCGACAATTTGACGTTTGATACACGCATAAAACGTTAAATTGTCACAGCATTGTCAAAAAAAGAGCGAATTTTGCGCAAGTGAGAATGGGGTATAAGGCGTGTTGCCAAATGCAGAAAAATATATATTGGCATTGCGACCCCTCCAAAAACTCTATGCGACCCCCTTAGGGGTCGCGACCCACCGGTTGGGAACCGCTGATATAGATAGATAACATGATAACAGTCAATAACAGATAATAAAATTAATAAACCAAAAAAAAAGTAAAATAAATCAAATCACATTTCTCAAACAAAAATAAATAGATTTCAAAATAGAAAATAAAAATACGAGTTATGAGAGTAGATAAACCTATTCACAATAATTGCCAAGCTAATTACTATCACTATCATCTTGATCTTGATCACTTTCTGCAGTCTTTGATAATATATTAGAGTTAGTTTTGATGTAAACCAGTTTCTTAACATTTTGGTCACTCAATTTATTCCTTAGTTTGGAATGAATGAAACCAAATGTCGAGAAGTTTCTTTCGGACGAAGCACTTGATGTAGTCATTGAGAAAACCCTCAATGCAAGCTTTTGCAAATCTGGGTAATCACCACCATCTATTTTCCAGAACTCTAGCACTGTCTTCTTTTTTTTCACTAACATCTGATATCTAAAACAAAGCAAATAACTGATATAGAAAAGTTAATAAATTGCTAACTATTAAGCAGAAACTGAACAACATTTGATCAGTATTATGTAGGTAGGTATTTCATTTTAATTATTCAAGATCAAGAACCTGAATGTGTTTCGTTCCCTTTGTTCCTGGGCCCACATCCTAAAATCCGTTATCTGTCTAAATATTGATTCTCGAATACCGGCTTGCTCCTCTTCTACATGAAATTTCATAATAAAGTCTTCAAGCTCTTCCCTCAAAGAATTCTCCATCCCATAGCCAGCATATCTCGGGTCTAACAAGTAACCCAATCCATGAGAATCCCCATATACGAATTGGAAACGTTCCTGAAAATACTGAATTTCTGACTTAATTGATGGTGCAAAAATGAATCTTAAAAATACCTTAATCAAGTCTTTAATATAGACAGCTTGCGATATTGTAATGTGTTGCTGAGCATTATCGGAGTCGTAATATTTTGGAATATTTGAAAATTCAGCATAAACCTCTGAAACAGGTTCTGCATCATTTTGAAATTTTAAAGTCAAGTCATTAAGTGGTTTTAAAATAAAAATTGCCTTTTTCAAATTAGTCACAAAGTTGGGGTCTGCTACAGTATTTTTTACAGCCTGGCGTGTCTCTTTTTGGCTGGGAACTGCTGTTAAAAAGTCCCTGGCATGCACCATAGTATGGATGATGTCTTCAGATTGTAATACAGATTCGAAGCAGCCAAGTAATGTACCTCATCTAGTTCTTGCTAGTAGCACTAGCTGCAATCAAAGATTTTTTAATTACAAGAAATTTCAAACTTATTATCAACATCTTTTTACCCTCCTTATATTTCTTTCCTTTTGCGCTGATTTTAGTTGATAATTTAATGCGTGGTGATTTTTAAAAAACATAACAATGTTCCGGCACTGGCTACCAAATGAAGATAATTCATGCAGGGGTGACTTGATTGTCCTAAGATTAAGAATTGAATTGTTTATATGTTACACTGATTTACTATAATATTTATATAAGTTACCTCATTTTACCTTCATCTCCGAAAATATCCTTCACCAATAACTGGAGGCAGTGGCAAACACATCCATGGAAAAATTTATCTGGATATTTATTTTCCAGAAGATTCCAGGCTACTTTATTAGAAGCCGTGTTATCAGTCACTGCTCCAGCCACAACAGTTGTGGATGTTTCAGTGGAATCTATTACTCTACTTAAGTCATCCGCAATCCATTGCCCAGTGTGACCCTGCGTTCCTGTATTAATAGATTCCAGAAAAAAAGTTCCGTTTGGTGAAGCGGCCATGTAGTTAACAATTGGCTCACCTGTAGCAAAGTAAAATAAGTAGGTGTAGGTGGTGTAGGTAAAAATTATATATATATTTTTTTTTTAGTCTTTACCATTAACATTAGTCCAGGCATCACTTATAATGCAAATATTTTTAGGAAGTGATTCTGAAACGTCTTTCTTCATTTGTTGGTAACACTCTTCTAAATATGTTGTAGAGAGCTGTTTTCTTGTTGGCAGGGTAGTTCCTAGAGTTGATAAATAAGATAAACTATTTCAAAAAATCTTAAATAATATACCTAGTCTATATATTAAACGCTTTTGTGAGGTGTTCGTCTTCTACCCTCACAAAACTTGTTCCAGTTTTATAGAAAAACATTGCCAAGTTTCTCTGAAACCTAGTGGTCTCAGAGTTGCTCATTAATGGCATTATATAATCCTTCATGGTTCGAGATCCAGCATTGGAATTTGGTTCAGAATTGACAGAACTAGATGTACCTTGTTAAAAAATATATTTGTTTATAGAAATATTGAGGCGCATATAAAATAATTTATTCATGGCCATGGCAATTCTTACTTGGCATAGTCTGTGAAAACTCCACATTAGATTTCTTCGACGGGAACCAATCTGGTCTCTCTTCCAAAGGTAGGCCATACATTAATTTTTTAAATGGAATGCATTTCAACAAATGAGATTTTGCATACTCTGTTTTTTTGTGATGGTTAATACGAAGCTTGCAATGTTTGCACTTAGCAGACTTA